ATCGATATTTGGTAAAAAATAAAATAAAGCGACAGTAGTGGTACATCTCTGTTTGAGGTTTGTTGTTTTTGGTTGTTTGTAAAGTAAAAGATGTTCTAGAGGAGTAAAGTGTTTATTAGTCCTATTTTTAATTATTTTTAATCAAAGATAATATGGAATTACAAAAGCCAAGTAAAACCAGTTTATTGAAGTTGATGATTTTGCGCGCTTGGCGCGAACGCTGGAATGTAGCCCTCTGGGGAATCAACATTAAACGGGTGAGCAACGAAATAAATTAAGTAGTAATTTCCAAGAGATAAAATATGTGTTTTAATGTTAGATTTTCGAGAAAACAATTGAAATATTTGTTCTTAACATGATTTTGAAATTTCGAGTTCCTAAAAATTTTAACTCAATAACCCAAGTTCCTGGTGATCCCATGTACTTGCTCTTCGAATTACATATCTTCGCTTTACTAAATAGCTCGTTCGAATGTAGGGTCCTCCGTCTTCGCTAGGGCCATTATCAATTGGCGTTGTTTCATGCTGAGTTGCCGTGGTACACGTATTTTGAAGTTAATGATATGATCTCCCGGGCCATCGCGAGTTCTGATTCCCTTACCTTTTAGGGTTATTGTGGTATGACTCTCAGTTCCTGGCTCAAGTTTAACTTCTAGTTCCTCATAAATGCCGCGTATTTTAAAAATTCCTCCCAGCACAGCCTCTGAAATAGTAATATACTTGTCGGAGAGTACATTGTTACCAACACGTTGGAAGATATCACTGGGTTGCACTTGTACACGATAGTTAATACGTTGTTTCGTTTTAGGGTTGTCTACAGGTATAAGTTCACCGTGTTTTACTCCAGCAGGCACTTGAGCTACTATGCGGACAGTCTCCAGAACTATTCCGCGGTTGTCGCAAGTCTCACATTCATTCCGGTTAATGTATCTCTTGCCATGACATTGGTCACAAGGCTGTATACTGGTATATGTAGCTGTCTTCTTCGTTAGTTTTCCAATACCCTGGCATTTTCTACAAAGTTCCGGTTTGCTCCGATTGATTAGTTGTGGCGATTTACCGTTGCATGCTGGACATTTTTTCAGGAAGCGTAAATCAATGTTCTTTTTTAAGCCATGCGCAGCTTCCAAAAATGTAAGCTCCAATCGGGGCTCACCCGTCGTCATTTCGATTAGCTCTTAGATATGCAATATTATAAAATTATAATCTTATCTGTTTTACAGCATTTACCTTCTCGAGTTGTAGGCAGAACAACCTCACCCTTGCGATTGGGAACTGCTGTGCCCATGTTGTTGAATTTGTGAAGAAAGTTTTGTTCATCTTTTACCATGCCAAGTTGATCGTACTCCATACGTTTAGTTTCGTCAGTGAGAATGTGATAGGCATTTGAAATATCTTGAAAGCGTTTAGACTCATAGGGGGGTGAATTTCCTGGAAATTAGAGGTATTTCCATAAAAATTATACTATATTAAATGTTAGTTTAATACTAATTAAGATCGGATAATAAAAATAGGGAAACAGATCTATTGAACAGATCAAGTTGTTGGTTATTACTTAAAAGCAATACGCTTAGCACAACCAAACAAAGATCGAACTTAAGTTGAGAGACACTATGGACATAATTTTTCAAGGTTGCTACCTGCGTCTGGATGAAAGCGTTTTGCAAGTGCATAATAAGCCGCTTTTATTTGTTGCATTGTTGCGTACCGCTTTACACCAAGTATTTTGTAGTAATAATCTCTAGGAAGTTTCTTCTTTTCCTGTGCTTTGCCGACCAATTGTGATTTTTGCTGCTCGTTAAACCGCTGCATTTCACTTTGTCGGTCCGGGTAATAAACGGGTCGCTCCATTTTAAACTGATACGCCACAGTCGCCACTTGCAATTTATTCAATTTATGAAAATTTTGTAGGAGTGAACGTCGTACGAAATTAAAAATGTTCATAGTTTTGCTTCCGGATTGATATGGTGCGGTTTGGAAGTATTACTTGGCGTCGTTTAGAGAATAGCGATAGCGAATTGTAAAATTTCGTAAAAAATATGTTTGGGTTCTTTTTCGAAGCTTCAGTTTCGCTCATTCAGTTGACAAAAAAAAATCTAAATAAATTAAATGTTTTTGTACTGTAGATTTCTAGGAAATGCGTCAGCTTGCTTTGTCAATCGACCTTACCAGGTGGTGTAGTTTCATTCATATATGACACCGAATTGGGTGAATGCTTCCGTCGAATTTGCGCTGAAACATTTTTTTGTTGTTGTTTTATAGGTACTTCCTCGAGGAGTAAGTGGAGATGCCTATAACCTAGCTGATTGTATCCTGCAGCAATCCTTGGTCGGTTCTAATGCGAATCCGGTAAGTTGAATTATTATTACACATACTTACATACATACAGTGGCTCCAAAGAATAAAAGTAAAAGAAAGCAGCATGGGCGTACGCAAAGCATAATTAAGGGAGGTCTGAGATTTTTTGTATGTCAATTTTATTAGAAATGTTAAAATATAGCTATTAAAAATTCATAATAATTTATCTCATTAACTATTCTCTTTTTAACCGACTTCAAAAAAAGTAGGAGGTTATCAAATCATATAAATATTTTTTTATGTATGTTAGTGCATAACTTTGGACCACATTGACGGATTTCGATAATGAGGAGGTCCAATACTAATTTGGCTTAGAACCGATCCGAAGTCAGTTGTTTTTTTTTTTGCTTAAAAATTACTTGTTATTATAACTATTGAGTTGTACCGAGCCTTATAAAGGAATTTATATTGCATTAAGTTTGTTACGAACTTATTGAAGAGTTAAAATACAAATTAATTGCATGCAAATTTTAAAATGCAACTTGTCTTTACACCAAAATCCTAATTTTTTCATTATTTTTATTTAAAAAAAATAGGAGGAGGTTATTATTCGCCGGATTTTGTTTTATGTACCTACTAGGGATGCCAAAATATCAGGAAAATTGGGACCCCGGGATTTCGGGATATTTTTTAAGGTAATCCCGAGGGATTTATGCCGGGATTCAAATTGGGTCATAAATTTTATGATTATGAGTAAAAATTCAATATCTGAAATCATTATACATACCATGAAATAAAACTATTTAAAATTTACGAAAAACTGATTGTAAAACTCCTATATCGCTAGCTTAGGGTGAAAAGTTGCTAACTTCCCTTTTAATGAAAAATCATATTTTGATATAGGCGGCTAGATAAATTAAAATTGCATCGTTTCGAAAAGGGTAAAGGTCCTTGTTTTATGTTTTCTCGTTTATATTCAATGAAAGGAAAATTTGCTTAGGCCAAAAAAAAGCTCCGAAAATTCGATAAGGCCAAAAAAGTTCGAAATCTTTTAGTAAATATCGAATCCCTCCGATTCGTATGGTCTTTTGCTTTGTTTTAAACAGGCAAAATGTTGTATTCAAAGTTTTGCGAAATACTTGAAGAAAATGGCTATGCGAAGTTTTTTCCTCTCCTGTACAATTTTTAAATTGGGACTTAGCAACTCTACGCTAGTGATATTTATTAAATCAGAGAAATCTTAAAGTAAAACATTTTTTTAATTGTATTTAAAAAACCATTAGGAACGTATACATCACAAATAATAATGTAAATACCAGGTACTTTTGAAAGTAACGATTAAGAAAAACATAAAACAAAAATATACAATAACAATTTCTCTAAACATGTTTATTCTACTCTATAAAGAAATGGCGAATGGAGAATTTTTTGCCATTTTTTTTTGCAATTTACTAGAAGTTTTGAGGGTGTCCGAGTCAAACGGTACATGTTGGTAGTTGGGTCTGGTTAAAAACACACACCCCTTTTTTGCCGGTGTTGTTATTATTGCACTTAAAATGTTTTCGTAAGAGCAGCTAAGCATTCAAAGCGGAGTCTTCTAAGCTTGACCTGCAGTTTTTACATACAAAACCTACTGATGAGAAACATATTTCGACATCAACACTTTTAGGCTGAACTGTCAAAAGGTAGACATAATCCATTTGAAGATAATGACCCCTATCTCCTCCATTACAAAATATTTGAACTTCTTTTACCAGCACGTCGGCCAAATTATACGTTTTTCGATTAGAGGAAGTTTTGAGTAGATTGATCTAAAAAATTATCTAACTTTTCCTTAAAACCTTCTGTTTCGTTTACATTAGCGACGCTATGAGTAAATTCATTGAAATATTCTTCAAAAAAGGCTCAGACTGCAATTGCATTCAAAACGGTATTTTACAAAAATCATACTTCAAAATTCATAAACAAATTCTTACTATCAATTCGATATTTCAACATTTTCGGGATCCCGGGATTAATGCAAGCCAATCATCACCAAACGTCAAAAACATATAGGGATTGGCATCCCTAGTACCTACATATGTTACCGCATAACCGATTTCGATAATTCTTTTATAAAGCAAAGGTGGTACCTCAGCTAAAAAATTACTTCTTTATTTAAACAAGTCTTCTGCAAATCGATAAATTGTTTTAGTGATGATTTGATTTTAGGTTTTTTCTACAAAACCTCTGTAAACGCTAAGCATATGTACCTAAATTCAAGTACAAACCAAGAGAAAATATTAAAAGATAATCATTCCCACGACAGCCGGTTCTAAGTACCGGAACGACTCGGGTTTTATCCGACCAAGGGCTGTTGTTTCGGCGACCTAACCCATTTAGGTCACAACACTACCCACACGCCGCCGCCAACAACTCCTGGTTCCTCCAACAATCTGGACGGTATGTCAGACCAGGATATTCCGTGATGTGTCATCAGTCGAGTGCAACACCTGCCTTGGCTGGTGCCACTTTAGGGCATGCTCAGGTCTGCGCACCACGCGAGATTGGACGAGGAACTTCGAGGGCCCGCTACCACCACAGGGCGGCAACCACCTCAGCAGCGCACACAGCCAACTGCGGCACGACCACACACATCCCTTACACCCCGCATCACCACACGTCTCCCGAACCACATGAAGCTCCATCAATTTAACTGCAACGGGCTACAGAGCAAGATCGAGGAGATAACCGTCTTAATGGGAAGGCATGGCATATTGATAGCTGCGGTCCAAGAGACGAAGTTGCACAGCAATTCAACACTGTTGAATTGTGCCGG